GGGTGTGCAGGAGGCAGCTGATCCATGATTCTCTCTCATCATTGATGTTTCTATCTCTCTCTCCCTCTCCCTTCCTCTCTGAAATCAACAACCATATATATATATTTTATCGTATTAGTAGCCTTGAAAAATCATGACTTTCTCCATGAAAAAGCTTGTGTGCATTTGTTTCACGGGTGCACCGAGTTGAGGGGTGTTTTCTGGAAGCGGCGAGGTCTGCCTGCAGGCATGATTGGAAGGGGAGGACATTCCCAGCAGCCTCGGGGAAGGTGGACGGACTTCCGGTCCGTGGTGCATTTATGGGGTCCGTGAGCGACACCTCTGCTGGTTGGGTTTCGGTCGCTTCTCCTTAAGCTGACGTCGCCTCCACTTGTTTCAGTTCTATTGTGTTGACATCAGTGAACGGAAATATTCAGGGAACATGGTTGCTGCTTTCAGAAGTGAACAGCCCGGCCGGTGTATAATAAAAAACATACAAAAAATTAAAACCTACCTCTGTTTGAGAAAACCGTCATTATAATAGTGGAAAATGCAGTCTGAAATGTACTGTGTGTTTTTCTGGATTTCAGAGAGGAAGGGAGAGAGAGATAGAAACATCAATGTTTCTATCATGGACCGGCTGCCTCCTGCACACCCCCTACTGGGGATGGAGCCTGCAACCCGGGCCTGTGCCCTGACCGGGAATCAAACCCTGACCTCCTGGTTCCTAGGTCGATGCTCAACCACTGAGCCGCGCTGGGCCAGGCTAAAAGTGTATCGACACTGAAGGATGATTAATTCTGCAGCGTTCTCGAAGGACAGTTCTGTCACATGGCATGTAGCCGAGCACTTGGGCGAGGGCACGAGGCTCCAGCCCCTCCCTGCAGACACCTGGCCGGCACCCACCGCTCCCTGTCCGCTGCCCTCGCCAGGCAACGGCTCTGTAAACACGCGGAGGGAACAGCCAGTTCCTTGTTGGGGGTTCATTGTTGGTTTCCTATTCTTGAGTCGACTCAAAGGAGAGGAGCCTCCGTCACTGTTCAAGTCCAGACGGGAGATTGGTTCCCATGCTCTCTGGCCTCGTCTTAGGCGTGTGGATAACATCTCACCTACAAACGTCTTCAGTTTGAAAAGGAACACGTTGGTTCTTTTTGGTCCCTTGGGAACATGCTCCAGTTACTAAATGAATACGTGGGTTGTCTGGTCCCCCCTCCCCTCCTGGGAGAGGCTCAGCCTCTGCAAGTGGTCCTGATCCACGGGAGCCCAGCCACCCTCGGCCTCCCTGCCCCCACCCCGCCGGGTTCCACCCGGCCAGCTTGGAGGCCTTCCTCCTGTGTAACGCAGACAGTCTCTTTATTTACTTTCTAATGTTTTTATTGACTTTTCAGAGAGAGGGATAGAAACATCCATGGTGAGAGAGAATCATGGGTTGGCTGCCTCCTGCACGCCCCACACTGGGGATCGAGCCCGCAACCCGGGCCTGTGCCCTGACCGGGAATGGAACCCTGACCTCCTGGTTCATGGGTTGATGCTCAACCACTGAGCCACGCCGGCCGGGCCAGAGAGTCTTGACTTGTCTCCTTCACTGTTCTTCCCCATTATTTCTCTGTTGACATCAAGATCTTTCTCCTTTGACGGCTGCCCTGCCCGCCTCGCCTCAGCTTGGGAGTCAGTCCCGAGCACAGTGCCAAATACTGGGGGAAGCAGTGCATTTGGAAGGTGCCTGCGATGTCAGAAAGGACCCACCAAGCTCGGGGAGTAATTCAGGGTTCACGTCAGAGGTATTATCCACACGCTCATTGGTTTCCTCATGCTTTTTCTTGTTTTAAAATTAATTTTTTGGGGGTGACTCGGCTAACAAGGCTTACAGGTTTCCAGCCTGCATTTCTGTGCTACATCCTCTGCTCGTTGCCTTGTGCGCCCACCGCCCAGGGTCGTCTTCTTCCGTCACCATCTATTCGACCCCTGTGACCCATTGCGCAGGCCCCGAGCGCCGTGATGTACGGAGAACAGGAAGGATGACTCGCCTTCCCAGACACGTGTTAGACTGTTGGTGACGGGGACTCATTCTTGTCCGGCTTTCACTGACCGGCCGTTTAGCGCCGTCGGGGAAAGCAGGCTGGTCGAATGCAGGCTGCTCTAAGCATCCAGCTGCGTTTCTGATTTGCAGTCAGACTTCCCTATGGAACTTGCAGGGGATTGTTGACCACTGAGTACCTTAGACCAGAAGTAGAATCAGTCTCGAATTTGAAAAATGGTCGCCTTTTTCCTATTTTTTTTTAAATTGAATACAGACATTGTTTTCCCAGTCACGGGTTATAATGGGAGGAAATGATTAAGAAGAAAAATGTGGCTAAAAATAAGAAAATTAAACATGTTGTGGTGCTTGCGTACGACCGCGAGGACGTGATGCTAAGAAGTCTGAGAAGCGCAGGCTTGGGAACCCGGGACGAGACTTTAAAACGAAAGTTTCACGTTTTAAGTCTTTGCCGAATTTCTCACCACATAAGCGGGGAGACCATGGCTAAAAATAAGAAAATTAAACATGTTGTGGTGCTTGCGTACGACCGAGAGGACGTGATGCTAAGAAATCTGAGAAGCGCAGGCTTGGGAACCCAGGACAAGACTTTGAAATGAAATTTTCACGTTTTAAGTCTTTGCCGAATTTCTCACCTCATAGTAGTTTGTTTTTAAACCTGTAAAGAATGTCTGTGAGTTTATTTGAGCCAAACTGTTGACAGTTGCTGGAAGCAGAATCTCAGCATGTTGGGATGATGCTCCGGAGAACGGCGGTTTTTCATCTTGTGTTCATTGCCATCAAAGGAGGGGACGAAGGGGGCTCACGACCTCCCCTGGTGACAGGTCAGGGAGCGGGAGAGACCTAAGCGGGGAGACCACGGCGTCTCTTCTAGATGTTCACTCCCTGGGCTTCTGTGGCTCCTCTGCGGCCGGCTGGTCATTAATTCCTCCTCCACGAGCATCCAGCCTGCTCGCCCTGCTCTGTTCAGGAGACGTTCGCGTAAGGCAGTGATGGCGAACCTATGACACGCGTGTCAGAGGTGACACGCGAACTCACTTTTTTGGTTGATTTTTCTTTGTTAAATGGCATTTAAATATATAAAATAAATATCAAAAATATAAATCTTTGTTTTACTATGGTTGCAAAGATCAAAAAATTTCTATATGTGACACGGCACCAGAGTTAAGTGAGGGTTTTTCAAAATGCTGACACACCGAGCTCAAAGGGTTCGCCATCACTGGCGTAGGGAGACGGGCATGGCATCCGCTCTCCTGGCTACGTGTGACTTTGCTGGGCAGGGACGTGGGCCTCCTGGGACCTGCTGGGCTTCGACAACGGATGTGGTAACACGGCCAGCGCCTTGGTTTGGGGGTTGCTGATGCTGAGGCCATGTCTGCACTTTAACCCGAGGAGGCTGCGCTCAGCGCTGGCCCGTGGGGTGGTTGGGTCCTCGGCCATCGTGGGGATGTTCACCCTCACGTGTTGGTGTTTGTTTGTACAGCCAGTCTTCAGGGCTGGGGCGTCAGACACCCTGACCGCTGTGGGTCCCAGTCCCGTGGACACGGGTGAAAAGGAGGAAAAGGTATTTGGGGACCAAAGCTCACCTCCTTCCTGCCTCGGGCGGTCACGAGGGCTAAGGAGCAAATCAGCCACTTTCCTAGAGTAGTGCCTGCCACCTCTTATATTTTTTAAAGAATTATTTCATTTTTTAAAACCTCACTGAGGATATATGTCTTTTTTAAAAATTTATTTTTAGAGATGGAAGAAGGGATGGGGGCAGAGAGAGAGAGAGAGAGAGAGAGAAGAGAGAAACATTGATCGGCTCCCTCCCAAACGTGCCCCTCGGGGATTGAGCCCACAGCCCAGGGATGAGTGCTGACTGGGAATCGAACCTGCAACCTTTGGGCCGAAGCTCCAACCAGCTGAGCACTGGCCAGGGCTCGCTCTCTCTTTAATCGGAGGCAGAGCTAAGAAGATGTGGCCTGAGAATCCATGACACATTTTCCCCTGGAAACGTGGCACCTAGGGTTTTAACGACCCCGGTGAGCGTGCACTCAGCAACTCCCTCCTGTATTGGAGCAGCCCCCGCCTCTCCCACGCCCCCCTCAGCGGGTTGTGGGAGGCCATTGCCCTCACCTGCCCCGCAGCCTTCCTGGAATTGCGATGGCCTCGCGGGGTTTCACTTTGCACTTATGAATAATTGAGGCCCGGGATAAAAATAAAAACAAAGGCTCGCTTTCCCGTGGGAGCAAGGGTCGTGCGTGCTCAGCCATGCAGATAAGAGGAGCGGGCCCGGGGCACCGTGGAGAGCGGTTCACGGGGCGGCCGCCTCCCTCCCCTGGGAGGACGCCTCTTGCTCCTGGGGGAGGTGGGTCTGTCTGCTGAGGAGGCTGTGTGAGCTTTAATGGTCTAATCCAGCACGGAGTCACCTCGAGGCGGGAGGACAGGGGGCCCACGGTGGCCTGCGGTGAGCACATAGTACCGTCAGGGACCCACAGTTGTTCTGCTCCCAGAGGGGACCCCCCCGCCCCCCCGCCCCGTGACATCTGTGTGTGTGTGTTTTAATATCTATTTTTATTGATTTCAGAGAGGAAGGGAGAGGGAGTGATAGAAATATCAATGATGAGAGAGAATCATGGACCGGCTGCCTCCTGCACGCCCCACACTGGGGATGGAGCCCGCCACCCAGGCCTGTGCCCTGACCGGGAATCCATCCTCCTAGTTCCTAGGTCAGCGCTCACCACGGAGCCGTGCCGGCAGCTGTTGGTGTGCCTTGAGCACAGCCTGGCCGGCCTCTGGGTCTGCCTCAGTCTCCAGGCTCTCACCCACCCTTAGGCCCGGGCGGACAGGACACTGGGGCAGCCCCGTTGCTGTGCAAAGATCCCCGTGCCCACCAGGACTCTCGCCCTCAGAGAGGAGGAGGGGGATGCACCCGTGGTGAGTCAGCTCGCTTCGTGCCGTTCTTGGGTGTGACCTAAACGCTGCCGTTTGTCTGCCGTAGGTCATCTATTTGAAGAAGACACCGGAAGAAGCCTACAGAGCACTCCTGTCCGGCTCCAACCCCCCCTACCTTCCATTCAGGTACCGCGCTGCGTGTGAGGGACGTTGGGCGGTAGCGCCTTGCTGGACGGCTCGCTACTGTCCGGCCGGATTATTGTTTTTAATTGTCTCATGACTGTGACCATGATGTTATAGGCAGTGAAACGAGATGGTGGTTTTTACTATTCCTTTTTGCCCAGTCCCCCCCCCTCCCCCATCTAGTAAGATAAAACAGCTTTCTCCTTTTAGGAATTAATTTTCCCTGGGACCCTTTCTATATCCTGACCGTTTAAGGGCAAGGGGTGCCCGACTTAGGAGCTAACAACCATATCAAGACTCGTTAGCGCTCAGTACTCGAGCTCATTGATGCACCCATTCATTCTTCCATTTCACGGGCGATGGTTGCGCCCCGACCCCGTGCTGGGGGCTGGGCAGGTAGCACCAGACCCTCTCAGCATCTTCCCGAAGCGGACGCTCAGCGGCCCGACTCACGGTGCGGCCCGCACATCTGGCTCTCACCCGGGACTATCAAGACTCGTTAGCGCTCAGTACTCGAGCTCATTGCTGCACGCATTCATTCCTCCATTTCACGGGCGATGGTTGCGACCCGACCCCGTGCTGGGGGCTGGGCAGGTAGCATCAGACCCTCTCAGCATCTTCCCGAAGCGGACGCGGCCCGACTCACGGTGCGGCCGCACATCTGGCTCTCACCCGGAAGGCGGTCTCCTCCTTCCAGTGTTGGGAGAGAACAGTTGGTGTCACTGAAGATCTTTTTATTCTTATTTATTTATTTTTTAAATATAATTTTATTGATTTCAGACAGAAAGGGAGAGGGAGAGATAGAAGCATCCATGATGAGAGAGAATCATGGATCGGTTGCCTCCTGCACGCCCCACACTAGGGATCGAGCCCTCAACCCGGGCATGTGCCCTGACTGGGAATGAAACCTTGACCTCCTGGTTCATAGGTCAATGCTCAACCACTGAGGCACACCAGCCAGGCAAGATACACATTCTTATTTTCCCGTTTCTATCCCCGCATGTGGCACACGCATTACTGTTCTGCACCTTGATATCTTCATCTTGGACATGTGTGGGTATCAGTGCGTAGAGCGCTGCCTCCCTCATGCCGCCGGGCTTCACTGTCCGCCTTGATTCATTAAGTGCGTGTGGACCGGAGGACGCTTCATTCCCGGCTGGGGGGCCCCGGGAGTGTCTGACGGCAGCATCAGCGTGTTCCACTCCTTAGAAAGCCGTTGTGTCAAAGCTGTACTTGCCGCTTGCCCCGAGGCTAGCCGGCGTATTTATCAAGAGCGACTATGGCTGAAGACGAGAGGAAAGGGGCCCCTACCACCTGCGTTAGTTCCTCGAGTCCATCCGTCGCAGCGGTGACTTTGCGGGTGACCTTCAGGGGAGCAGGCACCTTTGGGTCCTGGCCCCGAGTCAGCAGAGTTGGGTTGGGAGCCGGGCAGGGATCCCTTTAGGCTCTTTCCCTCCCGTGCACACCCCTCTCCAGTCCGTGTTCTTGGCCAGTCACCCCAAAGCCATGCTCCTTGCAGCTTGTCCGAGACCCCGGCCGATGCTGAGCTTTCCTGGCTGCCAGCAGCAGCGTTTTGCAAACCTGCCTCCGTGGTGCTCACACACAGTGTCTGGGGGAACCCTGAAGTCTCACGGAGTCGTCGGCGAGGTCCCCTTGCTCAGCTCTGAGCCCGTGTGCTTCCCATGCGTTTCACACGTCTCGGCTCCCGGGCCCATGGCATCAGCTGGGCGCATGCCTTTGCTGTGTGTGTGTGTGTGTGGGGGGGGTCCCCATGAATCTGCCAAACCCCGTTTTCCTGCGACGGGGAAATCCCGCGGGGAATGGACTCCACGGGCAGGAGTAGCCCCGAGCCCCAGTTTTGGAGACAAAGACAGAAAGCACAGCAGGAAAGGTGATGGCGGGGCCAGGTGAGCGGAGGCGGGGCTGCGCAGCCTCCGTGGGGCCGGGCTGGTGGGTGTTGGGTGTTGTCACCAGCTGTGAGTTGAGGGTCCGGTTTATTTCGGGGCTGAGGGTGGTGGTGGGAGACGCTCCCCCCGGTTGGCCCCGGAGTGCATTTTGTGTGGCTGTTGTAGTCTCTTTGGAGAAGATGTGAGAATGGATAGGTCGATGTTTCCCAGGTGCTGTTGAGTGCATTTTGTGTGGCTGTTGTAGTCTCTTTGGAGAATGGATAGGTCGATGTTTCCCAGGTGCTGTTGTTCCCGCCCTTGGTTTCAGGCCTGGGAAGCGTTAAACAGGACGGCTGCCTGCGTTCTGTCCCCAGGAACGCGTAGGATTGGTCTGGGGTGAGGTCTGGGTGTCGGGCTTTCTGGAAACTCCCGACAGATGTCAATGTGCCGCCGGGGCTGAGGGCTACGCGCTCTGCGTCTACCGAGGGAAAAGAATAATAATGGAAAAGTCAGCGATCAGAGAAGCTTAGAGCTCTCTGTCTTGGGGATTTACAAGCACGTTCCTCGTTTTAAGATCCTGAATGTGTCTTTCTAATAAAGATTCATCCGGAATCTCCCCCTCTCTCCCCCCCTCCCCATCTCTGTGACCGTCGCTCTGAAGCACCCAGGGCACCCTTCCTGACCCGCACGCGTGGAGCACCACCCACCTGGCAGTCAGAACACCACGCTGGCATCATGGCAGGAACTGTGTTTGTGCTCCCGACCCCCTGGAGCGTGGAAACGGGTGGCTTATCTCATAGCGACGGAGAACAATGCGAAGCACGTTCCTCGTTTTAAGATCCTGAATGTGTCTTTCTAATAAAGATTCATCCGGAATCTCCCCCTCTCTCCCCCCCTCCCCATCTCTGTGACCGTCGCTCTGAAGCACCCAGGGCACCTTTCCTGACCCGCACGCGTGGAGCACCACCCACCTGGCGGTCAGAACACCACGCTGGCATCGCAGCGGGAACTGTGTTTGTGCTCCCGACCGCCTGGAGCGTGGAAACGGGTGGCTTATCTCATAGTGACGGAGAACAATGCAGCTTTTCTCCGGGGGAGAAAGCCTTTCACAGGCCTCCCGCGCGGCCCTGCTGCAATGGCGTTTGGCATGAAACGCACCCGCCTGTTTGCGTTCGAGGGTGTGTTGCGGGTGGGATGACCCCTAGTGACATCTCTGTTGCTGAGCGAGTCTTCCTGTGGCCGGAGCGATGACTGGTCGCCTGGGCAAGTCAGAACTTGCAGGTCCCACAAAGGCTCGGAGGGTCAGCCACTCAGAACTTGGCACTGGCTGCCTCCTCCTTCCTTCTAAAGCGAAGCAGACAGGTGCTGGGAGATGTGAGCCGCCATTATAAATACATCTGTGTGTGTGTGTGTGTCTGTGTTTAACTTTTTAAAATATATATTTTTATTGACTTCAGAGAGGAAGGGAGAGGGAGAGCTAGAAACACCAATGATGAGGGAGAATCATTGATTGGCTGCCTCCTGCACACCCCACACTGGGGATCGAGCCTGAAAGCTGGGCCTGTGCCCTGACTGGAATTGAACCTGGGACCCTTCCGTCGCAGGCTGACGCTCTATCCACGGAGCCACACCAGCCAGGGCTAAAACATCTCTTTACCTCAAATGTTGAAACAGATGTTTGTTAGCTTGCATATGATCCTGTGCTTCTGTTGAAGTCCATTAGGCAGTTAACTCTGTGCCTCAAAGGGAAAGTTCCTACCACGTTTTTCTCTTGAGTCTCAAACATGTGGGAGCGACACTTATTTTACACTCTCTCCTGGCTTCCCTTTCCTTCTCCACTTCTCACAGCGATGGCTGGCTGCCTCTCTGCTCCTCCCTGTTGATCTTTGGGGGTCACGTCCCCCCGCACCCCCATGGGTCTTTGCTAACTCTCGCCTTTGGTGCATGCGTTTTGAAGGGTGAGGCGCGCCAGTTCCCCGAGGGTGGGAAATACACGGAAACGTGGCTGATCTGGTCCCCACTGCGGAGCCCGTTCTTGGCGGCGGGGCTCCGGGCTGAGCTGAGCCACCGTGGAAAGCAGACTGTCAGACGTTCCCTGTCACAGTGGCTGAGAAGCACACGACAGGGGACCTGGTAACAGACACAGCGGCTGAGTCTCAGGAGCCACTGACTACACGTAAGGAGGCGAGTTACATCTGCTCCGTGTTCAGCTTCAGCGGTTTGAGCTGCGAAAATGGGCTCAGACTGCTTCTTTCATTCCTATTTTTAAAAATATATTCTTACTGATTTCTAAGAGGTAGCGAGAGGGAAAGATAGAAGCATCAGTGATGAGAGATAATCATCGACCGGCTGCCACCTGCACGCCCCACACTGAGGATCGAGTCCGAAACCCGGGCCTGTGCCCTGACCAGGAATCCTGGCTTTCCTTTCCTTCTCCACTTCTCACAGCGATGGCTGGCTGCCTCTCTGCTCCTCCCTGTTGATCTTTGGGGGTCACGTCCCCCCGCACCCCCATGGGTCTTTGCTAACTCTCGCCTTTGGTGCATGCGTTTTGAAGGGTGAGGCGCGCCAGTTCCCCGAGGGTGGGAAATACACGGAAACGTGGCTGATCTGGTCCCCACCGCGGAGCCCGTTCTCGGCGGCGGGGCTCCGGGCTCAGCTGGGCCACCGTGGGAAGCAGACTGTCAGACGCTCCCTGTCACAGTGGCTGGAAGCACACGACAGGGGACCTGGTAACAGACACAGCGGCTGAGTCTCAGGAGCCACTGACTACACGTAAGGAGGCGAGTTACATCTGCTCCGTGTTCAGCTTCAGCGGTTTGAGCTGCGAAAATGGGCTCAGACTGCTTCTTTCATTCCTATTTTTAAAAATATATTCTTACTGATTTCTAAGAGGTAGCGAGAGGGAAAGATAGAAGCATCAGTGATGAGAGATAATCATCGACCGGCTGCCACCTGCACGCCCCACACTGAGGATCGAGTCCGAAACCCGGGCCTGTGCCCTGACCAGGAATGGAACTGTGACCTTCTGGGTCATAGGTCGAGGCTCAGCCGCTGAGCCACACAGGCCAGGCTTTCATTCACACTTTTAAGGCCCCAGATCAGTGTCACCAAACCATCTATAGAAGGGCCAGGCCCCCGTTCTTGGTCCTCTCTATGGGCCGTTCCCAAGAGCCGTTCCCGTGGGCAGTGGTGGTGGGGAACGGGGCTGCAGTCGTGTGCAGGAGTGAGCGGCGTTGTGTTGTTGATGCAAAGAAAGCCTTTGTGTGCCGGGGACGGAGCTGTTAGGCTGTCGAGTCAGCAGCCCGGGGCCTGTGTTCCCGCTGCCTGTGTTGCTGGTTGGAGGTGATTCTACCTGCTGACTTCACGTCACCTTTCATGCCCTGACTCTGAAGTGAGTTTCACTTATCTCTGTTTCTTGGATGAGCAGAGCGAGCAGGGTGTAGCCTTCTGCTAAGTCTGATCATTCATTCGTTCATTCATTCATTCATTCGTTCATTCATTCATTCATTCATTCACGCCTACAGCATGGAAACATGCCCCACACCAGGAGAGCCGTGTTCCGTTGGCGTCCGGCTCTGTCCCGAGAAGGCACGGGGCTTCCTCCTGGGCGGCG